GAGTCCGGCTTAGAGAAGACGTAGGTCGGCGGGCGGCCCGGGCGACGCTTCTCGCCCGAGCCGGGCGGGCTGGGGGACTCGCTCATGTGGGGGGCGTAAAGCGTGGGCAGTGGGATGGGTGTGAAGGTTTCTAAATTCATCCAGGACTTGCAAGGAGAGGGAAGCGGCGGCAGTGACGAAGGGGGGAGCGGGGGGGTGGGTAGGGGAGGCGTGTTATGAATATCTCGGCGTTGGCTGAGGTGGATGGGGGTGAGAAACGGGTGAGAGGGAGGAGAGGATTGGTCAGGGCGGGTGAAGAAGAGGGCAACAGTAGAAGTCCATGAGGTCGGCGGGAGGGGGGTAGGGGAGATAAAAGCGATGCGACGAGGTTTCTACTCTACCTTGGGGCGTGCGGCGCGATGGATGTGAAGAGGAAAACATTGCGCGTAGCAAAGGGAATGAGGAAGAAGGTCAAGCGAATAGCGACAGTTGGAAGAGGCGGAGAAGGATGGCCGGAACGGAAAGGCGGCGTAGAAACTGGGCGGGTGTAAAACCCAAATTTTTGAGGGCTTGGTTTCTCCATCCGCACCTCCGGTCCCGACGCAGCGAACAGCATTGCTGTGAGCGCTCCCGTCCGTGGTTGTGTCCCTACCCCCCGCGCTCGCCCCCCAATCCCTCATCATCTCCTCGCACCAAGTTTCTCCCCCCCCTCGCGCCCGCACAACCAGGCCTCTTTTCTTCCATCCCCCGCATCCGCCCACCCCATTCTTCCTCGCGCACTTTCTCCTACGACCCTCCGTTCCCCCAGCCCATGGCCGCCAGCCAACATCGTAAGACTCCAGCCTTGTCGCCAACCGCCGCGCCGACGCCGCAGTATACTGTTTCTTAGCAACCCCCCTCCGTCCTCCCCTGCCCCTCGTGCTACAACTCTCTTACACTTCCCGCGTCCATCCCGCATCGAAACGAGGACCGCTGTCCCCGTCCAATCTGCCACCGTTCTTTCGGCGTCTGTAAATCGCCCCCGTGTCCACAAACCTCGCCGCCACCGCCCCACCCGTGCCACAGCGTAGCCGGAGCCCGCGTCGCCCCTCAATGCACTACATCATCCCCCGTGCGTGGAAGGACCGTCGGCACGCACCCGTTTCGCAGCCCTCCGCCGCCCCCGCGCCGCCCGCACGAGGCGCTATTTACACTCGGAAACTTCCCGACTCCCGCTAGTTACCCTCCCTCGCTCCCCTCTAGCCATAAGCGCAGCCGCAGGGGGAGCCGCAGGGGGAGCCGCTTCCCCTGTCACCGAACCATCTCATCAAGCGTGGTACGGGTACTCTCGCGCCATGCTCGCCCGCTCAACCCCACCGCCACCCCCCTATACTGTGTACTGTGTACTGTACCGCCCCCGATAACGATCGCGGGTAGACGTTCGCTCCTTCCACGGCCAACGCGCAGTGCTCCCTGGACGTGTGAAGAGCCGCGATCCAGCGTCGTATGTGCGATTGTGCGATGCGCTGTTGTAGCAAGTGTGTGTTGCATCGCCGCCGCTGTTTTGTTCCAACAGTTTGCAACTACGGACCTCTCTGAGAGGTAGAGCATTTCTGCATCTGATGACGGAGCATAAGAATTATGCGCTCGATTTGATTGTAGATAATTTGCAGTGTCCGTCCAGCAGTGTTCTTCAAGCAAAAGGGCGGGGACATGTTGGGGCCTTACGGATTTAACTCAAATCAGGGATGTGAGAGTTGCGCTCTGTGCGCTCGTGTGATATCGCACCCGATCGCGACGTGCACACCACAGAACTTAGCACGAAGTCTGCTGCCCCGCTGCCTTGTTCCTGATCGTCAGAGTAGCAGGAAGTTTGCAGTGATCGACACGGTCTCATTGCCACGCCAAGGTCGCAGCCTTAGCCCTTCCTCGAGCTCAATAAACTACCCCCCTTTTCCCCAACCACCTTTTCCCGTAGCGCATCTATCGTACGTGCTATTCCAGCTTCGGATTGTACCGATCGCCACGCACGTTGTGCAGTTTCTCTCGAGTTCCGCGACATAAATTTACAACGAGCTGTCTCCTTGGGCAGGCCGCGGTAGAGGCTTCGACACATCACCGAGACAGAAACTTGACAGAAACCACAGAAAGATCGGTCGTTTAGATAGATGCGGTAAAGTCTGCACTGCAGTCGAGCGACTGCAAAATGCACGAGGCTGGTTGTGGGTAGGTTACTGTTTCTTGTCAAATCGCAGTAGCCCCTTCCAAGTTTGCGTGGAGTGGCCTCCATATGGATCAAAATCTCCAGTATGAAACACATATCTCATCTGTACGGTACATCCCCTTACTTTTCTTGCGGCGTGTGCAAAAGCTCACAGCCTGACGAAAGTTTCCAGACAGATCGAGTGCACAGTATTGCCGAGCGATTGGTGTGTGCCGACCTATCTACGAAGAAAATACGGATGGGGAGCGGATTCGTGTGTGGGGGGTCACGTGAAGGAGGAGGACGCAGATAAATGGCGTACTTACAATATGTTCATCAGGCAAATGCCTGGCATGCTTGTGAAAATTACATTTGTGTTAAGCTTGTTGGACAGCACTAAGGGGAGACGGGAAGAGAAGGAGAGACGTCTGGTTATCGGACGAGAGCTGTTTTAGCGAGGCTAAAATGGAACAAAAGTATTTCGTTGTGTATTGATTGTGAGAGTTGAAATGCTTACTTTTGTTCCATTCTAGCGTCGTGTTGCGAGTTGAAATGCTGACTTCAAAGTTGTTGCATCTACTGTAGTAGCACATACATGAACAATGACTAACGACAAATTCATTTCTTGACAGTCGGGTACTGCTGTACATCATCACCATCGACCAAAAAGGTACAATATTAGGTGTGTTGCTGAGCTAATTTCTCGATGAAACCAAAGTTCAACAGCAAGCCGCTTTGCAGGTGACGTGATGTGGAACGGTGTGGAGCTTGATGGCAAGCAAAAGGCTAATTTCCCGATTCGATCTTTGTTTGCTACGCTGCTATGTTGTGTAACAAATAACGAGTAGAGTTGGAGCAAAAAAACTGTGTAAAGAGCATAGACGCACTCGCGCAGATGACGCGTGTCTGCAATTGTTTCAACCTCTGCCTCATGCAGTATTTTGCCGCGCAGCAAGCAAGACTTCGGATTGCACTCCCCTTGATCAGTCCTAGTTGTTCCCTTTCACATCTCCCAATGCGAACACAGTTTTCAGACATTACGCAAAAAGCGTGGATGCGGAGCGGGGACAACAACTGGTGATCAACTGGTGAGGCACTGGGGCGTGCTAGATGAAAATGAACGGAGGGCCAGTGGGGCACTGCTGTCGAGTACGTATGACACTCGCTGCGCCATTGTTGACAGCGCATTAGATAAAAGCACGCGCTGACAGAGCATGCAAATGATTGGCTGTTTAGTAATTGCGGAGGCGCCTCACTGTCGGCTGGCTTGTAGTACTGCACACAAGCCACACACACTGGTGCTGCATCGCTTCTACATATGTTTGTTGCATCCGACGATTCGTGCTTCAGCAACGCCGATCTAGCCCGTCTATATTAGCATTGAAGTGTGCGCAGTGTACAGCTTCTCTTGCCACTTTTGCGTCTGAACTTAGCACCTGTCATTCTACATTGCGGACACGTCAAAGCCGTCTATTCTGTACACTATTTCAGATGCAGTTTCACTTTCAGTTCCAGTTTCACTTTCAGCTCCACATCTGAGCTAGATAATCACTGCCCTTCACGCAAAAATCGGTTGTTACCAATAGTGTATCTTCACTACAAGCAATCTCACCAGAGACATCTCAAAAAAAGCCCTCCTGCCTGCCTACCGACCACCTGATGTTCCCAAAAAAGAAGGTCAAATCCAGTCCGTCATGCCTCTTCCCCAACACGCTCATTTCACTTCTCCTCTCTTACGCAACTGCCGACCTCAAACGACACCCCCTCAAATTCGCCCTCATCGCCGTCGGCAGTGCAATCCTTGCCGCGGCAATCGCCCTCCTCAGCATCGCCATCTCGCAATCTCCACTAGTCTTTCTTCGCTTCGCCGAGAACCGCGTTGGAGAAACAGATATAATCATCCTCCCATCCCCACAGCCTATTGCTGAAAAAACGCTCTCCGTAGTTCGGGGACAGCTCGTTTTCCAGAATCTGTCATCGGAGACGGCTCTGTCAGGCATCAATATTGCCCAAGTACGCAAGGCCTTGGGAAAGAAAGCTGCGGCGTGTCAGGGATGCATCGAAGATAATCCAGCGCCGAGGTGGATTGCGATGGGTGCTGTTGGCAGTGCGGAGGGCAAGTGGCATGGCGAGGTCAGGTCGTATATGATGGCAATGGATACTGAATTGGAGAGAAAGCTTGAAATTGGACGCTCGTGGGATCGGAGGGCGGGAGGAAAACTGGAGGCATACATGTCTGAAGGCGTGAGTTAAACTTTCCTCAACACTTTTTTTGCTGTCTCTTGCGAGACTGACTCTAACATTCCTGTCATCGGTATTTGGATATGATGTGCTTGTTGCGTATATGCAGATGGCTACTTCGATGGGAATCAGCGGGGCGCGAGGAATGCGAGCGAATTTCACAATGTCTCTCAGTTCCTTTTTGCAAGGATTTGGTATTTTGAGTACATCAAGGAATGATATGGTTGATTCTATCTTGCGTAAGACTGGAATGGACCTCGGACTGCCTATTGGTATTTCAGACCAAACTGCCACCCTGATTGCAAGCGATAAGAAGGCTACAAAAGTTGTAACTTTGCTGCCAAATTCTCTGCCTTACGGGCCCGCCAAGAAACCAATGCACGGTGGAAGTTTCTCCATAGAGAACGAGAATGTAACTGTCTTTGTGCCCACGGAGGTTCTAAGTAACTCTTTTTCGAGATACCTCAATGCCGGAGCGGCTGCTAAGGTTGAATTCACGATCATTGACGTCGTCTCTGCACCGGACGGTAAATGGCCAAAGGATTTCGGAAACGTGGTGGTTGTCGAAGCAAGTCAAATTGTTGTTTTCTTGGAACAAATGATAGGGAACGTGTTTTCCTCGTCAGCTTTCACGGACATTTTGAGATCAGACCTTGATCCCTTCGGAGCATTGACAGAACTAGTCGCTAAGGAATTTCGCGATAGATTTCTGGCTGTGCTCCATGCCTTGGATGTTCAGTCCGCCGCACCTTTGGTGGGTATTCAGAGTATCGACAGGACTACTACCTTCGCAGAGACGGATCAAACTGCAAGGCAATCATTCGCTCAATTTACCGATTCGATAGGAGAAAGGATAGGCCCTGATGCTGCCGTAAGCCTGTCTTCCCCGCTTCTCCTAGCTTTTGAAGAAATTGATTTTCTTCAAGTAGTACTCCACCAATTTTTCATTGTTTTTGTTTTTATCTTCGCAGCAATAGGGTGTGTAGTTTTATGGACCACATCGAGTGCACAAGTTCAAGAGCTATCCACTACATCTGAAATTATGAGAACCCTAGGAATGCCGCGATCACAGGTACAAATGTTTGGGTGTCTTATATCATTGCGGTATTTGGTTGTTGGTATCGTTCTTGGAACTCTATTGACCGGGGCTGGGTTGTTGCTCATATCAAAAACTTTATCAAAATTCCTCAGAATGCCTGCTCGAGCAATTACGTTCGTCCCTGTCCTTCTTGCAGTTGTCCTAGGAGTCGTAGTGCCCTGTCTTGGAAGTCTATTACCTTGCAGTCGTATTGCGGCACTGTCAAGCAGACGAAACCCCCGGCAACGCATTGGGAAGAAAGAAAGTTCAATTATTGTCAAACGGTTGCAGAATTTTGGATGGAATGTGTCAGTGTTAGCTGCTGCGAGCATAATGACTATCTACGGAGCAGTGTTCTACTTTTTTCTTCCGAAGTCATTTTTAGAAGAGGACTACAGTTTGTTCTTCGGAATCATGAATATTTCCGTTACAGGCATAATCCTTGGCCTCGTATTCATACTTCAGCCCTTGCAAGAATGTGTGCAATATGTCTTCGCATTCATCTTTGTGTCCATTGGAAAAGCATGCAATTTCATTGGGCGTATCTCTACACGTTCTGAAAGATGCCTATTCTCTTGCGTACGGAGGAATATGAAAAACCATCGCCGCCGCAATCGGGACGCCGCTTTAGTTTTATCTTTTTCCATGGCGCTGTTGATGTTTGCCTGGTCCTTTACGAAAGTACAAATAGTTGGCATCACAGAATCCATACGAGAGTCCCTGGGCAGTGATATTGTTCTCACAGCGAGGGATAGATCAATACCTTTGAACGAAACACTGCTTCGAGAACATATGAAAGATCTATCAATTCAAAATGTCGTAAAGAAGTTCACCTTCATAACGTTTCCTCTTTTCAAGAAGCTTCAAGTGACAGGAATAGCTGAATGGCCTATATCAGAGCCTCTACAAGTCTACGGAATTGACAAATATTTCTTCGAGACTGTGTTTCAGGACATTACGATCTTGTCCCGTAATCCCATGGATCCAGATAGCGACGAGACATTGTTTCAACTCTTGCAAAAATCTCCCGATCCAAAAGCTGAGCAGAACGAAGCAATGTTGGAATCGAAGGCTCTCAACACAATACCAGTCAGTTTGTCAGAGGGATTTCGTAATGTCTTTGCACTTGAATCTTCAAGTGTGTTGCAGCTCCGTATGCAATCGCTCAGCTTTATGGCAACGGCTCCAATATTAGTGGAGAAGCTGCCTGCGTTCATTTTCTCTAAGTTTGCATCCACAATATCAACTTCCCCACTTGTTGTTTCTGAAGCCAGCTTTCGTCGGTTCTATGAAGTTCTAGGTCAGCGTTTGGATACTGAAGGAAATTCTATGCTCTTAGAGGAAAGTATGAACAAGGAAATGAGCCCAAAGCAGCGTCTTCTCATTTTGCTTCAACCTGGATCGTCAACGAGGGCAGTGAAGGATCACATTCAAATGTTTGGAACGGACAGGTTGATTGTTCGAGATATTGAAGGCAATCTTGAAGAAGTTTATGGACTTGAAAAAATGTTAATGGCCGTGAATGCAGTTTCTCTAATCATGCTCTCATTACTTTCCGGTAGCATGCTGTTTGTTGTCTTCCACGAAAACGGAAAAGCTGCGAATTGGGAGATGGGATTATTACGAGCACTTGGCCTCACAAACAAGCAGGTCTTCCAGATACTGTCATATGAATACGTTTCGTTAACACTTTCTGGATTGTTGAGTGGAAGCACTGTGGGGATTGTGGCCTCGTTTGTTCTTGTGCTACAAGATGAGTTGTTTCGGGGAATAAGACAAAAAATCAGTTTCCCGTTTCTCCCGAATGTGATTCTTTGCTTCGCGTCGTTACTGACAGCCATGATTTCGACCGCACTTGCTTGGAGAAAAATCTGCAGCAGTGAGGCATGTGCTATTCTGAGAGGCGGATAGAATGGATCTGTTCCAATATCCGCAATGTGTGAATCAGGCGCTGCACAGAGGTTGTCGCAGGACCGTTCCGAATCCAGTTGTTAGCCAGAGCATGAAGCCACAGAGAAATTAAAGAGCTCGATGTTCTGTATAGAAACATCTTCGATGTTCAGTTCCACGACTGCCCTTTATACAAGTTTGCATCTTCTTCGCGATATTTCTGAGTGCCTGTGCAGTCAAGGGCATGGCAGTGTAACCTCGGAGATGGACTTTGCGTCCATCAAATTGCTCTTCATTTCAAGGTATCAATTTTAATTATATCCAATCGAGTCCACTGCTTTCATTGGAGTAAAACGGGAGAGCATCCTGTGTTGCTGGGGGAAGTGGAAGCGCCATCACCGAGATAGCAAGAATATCAGCCAGGATGCACCGCCAGATTACGGACAGCCTCGCTCGCATTTATTAATTCGTGATCTTTTCCTGTAGGTCGTCTTGGTGTTTCCTTTGAATTAATTTGTAAAAGGACACGACTCTCTTGGCTGCATGCTCTCGCAATGAGTGACCGCAATTCGCCATCATAGAGAGTCCCAGAATACTTTTAAAGATTTACACATCAAAACCCAGGGTGCAACAACAATTGCGATATGCATCCGAAATTAATGAATATGGATATACCACTTCATGATCTCCACGATAGCATACCTCGCTTGCGAGACACGTCGTAAAGGAATGAGCTGTGCCTGCTGCATGGTAGGATTTGTGTGGTACTATGCACCCGCAACTTGCTGCCGTACTGCGAGATTTTGGAGAATACGATTTGCTCCTTACACTCACATTATACAAACAACCGAAGGACAATCTTGAGATCAGGGGCTGTGATTCGAGGCAGTGTCTGCAATGACAATATACTGTTTTTTTTATTTTCCGGGAATAAATGCTGCTAGACAAACGTTTTTCCAATCCTCACAAACATCACACCACAAGACAACATTTCGTTTGGTTGCTACTTATATTAAGTAGAAGGGCATAGCGGATGCGCGCCCTTCCTGTTGTGCTTGTCTCCAAAACCGCACAGAGTTTCCTTTCAACGGTGGGAAGCATGAAGACACTCACACGGCCGTGGTATTGCCCTCTCATGGAGATCTGCTCTGTTATATCCTTGCAAAAATTGAAGTCGACCATCCAAATTCACTGAAACGCACCGTTTTCAGGAATATTGTTATACTTGGAGTTACTATCCGTGACTTTTTACGAGACGCAGCTGCTGGGTATCCATGGGCTGCTCGTTTAACAAAAGTTTTGCTGCCAATGAGTCGGGCTTATTGAGGTACAGAGATGATATCTAATCTCTTGTTTTGTAACTCTATATCCTGACGCCTCATAGAAGGAGGCTTTCTGAGGATCTGAGGAACTAGATATCTATCTATTAACACAGTGGCAACAGTTGAAAGAGTGTTATCCCACTGCCCTACCGTTTATTCAGTACAGTAAACCAAGAGTAGATAAGACTCAAACTCAACGGACTCTTGGTATCGAGCTTCGAAAATATACCATGCAGTGAGTGTTATTCGTTTCTCTTCTCATATTGATATGCATACTGTTTGACCCAACTTTATGAAAACTTGCAGTAGTTGACGTGTGTACATCACCATTGATTAATTTTCCATGACCCGTAGGAAATATTCACGACATCCACGATGTCGGGGAGAACAAGTAAGAGCGACACGAAGGAGTTTGTCATTATTTTTTTCATGCTTCTAATCTTTTGGGCGTAGTGTGATCTTCCCTTGACGAAGTGTAGGGGGTGCAGGCATGGACGTTTGGATATTACATTAGTGTACAGTAGATGCAATGCAATGAGTTTAGAAGGAAGTTGATGCTGAAAAGAAGGATGGGGGAGGTTTGATATTGTCAGGATCATTTCTGAAGCACAGGGCTGTGTCTACATTAGCGTATGGAGGTATGTGTTGACGGGTAGAGGTGGGCAGCTGCGGGGACGGTATCGAGACTGCCTTCACTCTTTTGTAAGGGGAGACTTCTGATTTGGATTGATAGAATGACGGGCATATATTCTGAACGAGAGGTACTACTACTTCGAGCTTCTGTGAGATATTTGGAGCTACAACGCGAGTCTCGGACAAGGGAGCGATGTAGTGCGCATAAATTTGTGCCACTTGCTTTCGCGTGGAAAAACAGAAAAAACAGCAAGAAGTCATTTCAAAACAGGCAATCGCAGAGAGGCGCAGTTTATCGGCAAGTGCGTCGCCTGAGAGCTCTACGGCTGATAGAGATACAGTAGAAGGGTACAAAACAGCGCATAATAAATACACCACAAGAGTCGCGCTATTGGCGCCGTACCCCTCCGAGAGGCGACTGGCAAGGCACGAGAGAATCTTTGTCCATCATTTGAGTCTCGTGTTGATTCTTGTATTTCCGTGAGGGTGGGAGCTGCCCAAGACTCGAGTCCCGCAATTTTGTCAAACCATGAAAACAAAACTAGAGGCCAAATACAATACTGTACGTTCTCTCGTTTGTGACGTTCACTTTGAAATTGTGTACATTACCGTAAAAGCATCGACCATTCAATCCAAAAATGTGGTAATAGAAATGCGTCCATGAAGGGCAATGCTCTTGATGCTCCTGACGAAGCCTGGTTCACCACAGACCAAACTACCGTACCTCCCTCTAATTGCCCTTCTTTTACGGCAAGTTTCTCTCACGAGCATGTGGAAGGGACAAAGACGTCCTGCATATGTGGACAATAGTTTTAGTTGTTTCAGCAATTTGGCCTCAATATCCGGCTTCAGTTTGTAAAGAACAAGAAGTTTATCTGTTGTCTTTGGCATGACATAAATTTTATACATCAAGGAGTTACATAAGCGTTGAAAACAAGGCGAGATGGAGGAAAGTCTTTAAGAGCTGCAATGTCTCGGGTAGTTGATGATGCTCTGTACGTGGCGAGAGCCATTGCAACGCGTTGTGTGTATTGACACCGGTTGGTGCAGTGCGCACGAAATGGTGGTGGAATGAATGGCGTTAGCCAAATGCCATATTGTTATTAAAGAGATTAGAGTAGCATGACTGAGTCATCGATTTGCAGTGTGTAACAATAGGGATGGTGGTATTTTTATTATTATTATTATATATTTTTTTGACAGGGGTGTGTCATGAGGCTTGGAGTGATGGAAGGTGGTCAAGCTGCATGCGTTTGATGCTGATGGTGTGGTTGATGCAGAGCACCATGGATTCCAATGACGTTTTCCATTGTTACTTGACAGCATGTGTATTCGAATTACGGGAAACGAGGAGAAGAGACAGGGGCTGATATGTGTAGTGATTGGGATGTAGGTGCAATGAGGCGTAATGAAGCGAGGATTTCTGAGAAAATCACATAATCGGGGGGATTCATGTGTTGCAATTCAGCACAATGTGTTGCATTGTGCTGAGAATGTGTTTTTATGTGCAGGCGGTTTGTAGCAAGGACCACTAATGTCATCACATCTGGCTCGCAATACAACAGCATAAAAAGACGTTGCGTTGTTTTACTGTACAGGAGCACGTCGTCCTGTACAGTACATAGCGTAGACGATTTCGGGCATTTTTGTGACGTTGACCATGCTGGATCCTAAACGTCTTACAGTATTCCGCTTTCGAATGGGATGGAATTTCGGAGACTCTAAGCGACAAACAAAGTCGGAGCAACGCGGGGCCAGGTAAGAGTAATGCGGTCTGCCCAGTGTGGATGCGCATGTGCGCGCATAATGATTGTGAGATTTGTTTATTCGTTAGGCGGGTGTTGGCGTTTTTCCGGTTTAGGGTTGTGGAAACGCCCTTGCGAAAATTAAAGCAACCATTAATAAGACGCTGGAAGAATGCGCAGGAGACTTGTGCCGTGCCGGGCTCCAAGCGCATTGATCAAAATGGATGAAGGCACTAAAATCTCTCCCTGGAACATCGAGTTATATTAAATTTACCGTGACGGACTTGCTGTTAGCTGGAGTCGTCTAGGAAAAGGGACGCAAATGCTGAGCGTACCAATCATTGAAACTGGTGGTATGCAGGGGTGTCAATCAGTGAACGGTTTCTGTGTATGTTGATTGATTAGAGTGTGGGTGGGGGGGTGCAAAGGAAAATACTTTTCCTCCGCTGCACTGAGGGGTGCAGTGCAGATCGGAAATGAGATGCATTTAATGTGTTTTTAGATTTTGGGGAAAACAGTGGAAAGAGAAACAATTGCGGGCACACGTTGAAATTGATCTTTTTGAAATACTCCACTGTGCAGCAGTGCTGTAGGTCCTGTAGGTTGCATATACTGTACGCATTCTATGTTGAGAGAGAGAGATATCTAAAACGTGATGTTGATGATTGGATATATTAGGGCAAGTCGAACGAAGTGTCTTGGGCCAAGACACTTCACTTCCTGCGATTCTGTGTGAGAAAAAAAAGTTCAAGTCAGATATAGCGGCGCCTCAAGCAAGTGCGTCGCGATACGTACAGCGCCATGGCACACTTTTGAATGTGTAAGTTTCGTTGCTGAAGAGGCCACGGCGCTTGAACACCCCGTAAATAACAATATTGTAAACACTTATTCGAACCCAGTGATGGCCAGGCCATCAAATCACCCTGAATGCCTTGAACAGCTCTGTCAAGCCTCTATGCGCTCTCCCTCAGAGCCGTTGACATCTTTCGCGCACTAGCAACCGGGTTCCCCCGCTACAGTTCAACTTGAGTTTACCGTATATTTCCCGCGGCTGAAATGCCCGTGGGACTGCAGGTCCATGTGGTTGCGCCTGTACTTGCGTTATATGTCTTGGCGGGAATGGCCACTCACTCACGCTGCAGAAAGAGGCAATCGGGGCTTAAAACAGACGTTTCCAAAGGGGCTTGAAGATCGAGATGAAGAAAAGTAGATGTATGCCGCCTGTGCAGTGGGCCGATCTAATGACCAATCCGTTTGCATTTATTTTCGTGTTTGAATTTCGATATGCGACTGCGTTTAATGACACCAACGTCGGCACTGCTACGTTAATTGCCCGTAGTCGCACGTAGTGTAGCCTCGGCCTTCTACAAACGTGCATGCTTGAATACACTAGATACACATGCCGCGCCATCATGAAAGGCGTTTCGACGCAGAAATGCGTTGCTTTACAACTGCAAACACGTCTCCGAGGCCATTTGCTACACGCTCGGGCTTACCAGGGATGCAATGCCTTCTCACCATGCCTTTAAAGCAGTGACCAGCCACGCCGAGATCTCTGCCCCTCCTCCCGACTGCCCTCCCCTTCCATGCAGGGATGCCGTGTCTCTGAGCAGCGGTGCGAGGCGTAGCGAAAAAAGGGCATGAGGGCGCAGCGATCGGGCGTATCCCGATACGCGAGTAGAGAGCGGGGAGCTTCCTCGCGGGGCGAGTCAGGGATTGACTAATTGTGCGAGTAGTGTTTTTCGAGGCGAGAAGAGAGCGGGTGCGGGATCGGGCGAGTGCAAGCGGTATTTATTGCCGAAGCGTGGGTGGTGGATATACTGTACCAAGGGTACAGTATATATATACATATATGCAGTATATGGGCGTTGGGCTGGGAAAGTAATGTACAGCGGGGGATCGCAGGGACAGTTAGAGTGTTGAAGGCAGGGTGGAAGGAGGGGCGCGTGGGGCCTTGGCGTAAGGCTCCTTAGCGTAAGGCTATCTAGGGGTGAATGACTGAATAGTTGTCGATACGAGACAGGGCACGTGCGTGAACATGTTGAGAAGGGAGGTGGAGGGAGTTGGAGGGAGTTGGAGGGAGGCGGCGGGGCGACGGGGGCGGGGCGACGGGGGCGGGGCGACGGGGGCGGGGCGACGGGGCGGGGTGAGGGGTGGTGTGTTGGTGCGTTTGCTTGTGGAGTGGAGTGTGTACAGGACAAGGGTAGTGTACGGTCGGTCTGGAAAGGCGCAAATGCGTGCTCTGTCGAAGAAAAGAGTCGCGCTTGTAGGGCAGTTGTGCTGTGAGGACCCGGGGGCGGTGTGTGCACTGTGATTTGCCGAATTCAGGCACCCGCGCCGAATCCCTCCGCACCCTCTGTCCGCGCCACTACAATTGTTCATTTCTTCAATTGCACACCGTCTTTGATACGTCTTTCACTTCCTCCTCCTCCTCCACCCCTGCACCGCTGTCTCCCTCTTCACCCTCTCTCTTCACACTCTTTCTTCACACTCTCTCTTCAAGCTACCCTTACCGCTTACCCCTCACCCCGCCCCTCACCCCGCCCCTCACCCCGCCCCTCACCCCCACCCTCCACTCCCCCCCAACCCTTTCACCTCGAACCCCTCCGCTCTCTCCAACCCTTCTCTATCAATCCGCTTCCAATTGTGTCACATGCCCGTTCTCCACCCGCAGTCCCGTGCGCGCCCGATGCCCGACCATCCAGTGCCCCTCCCGTAATACCAAACGCCTTGGGGTCGTTAAGCCCTTCTAGTTTGCCTGTTCGACGCAATTCGGTGCACCTTTCCACATCCCACCGATGCCGCGTCCAAGCCGCGCTAGAGTTGCCCAGGCGATACGCTCCCCGACCACCGCCATCTTCCACGATGAGGTCATTGAAATGTACGCCCACCCCGACGATATGCCCACCTTCTCCGACGCCCCTAAGAAGCGGCCTCGTCATGCCACTCGCGGAGCCGCCGCCGCTGAGCGTCGTCAGGAATCCACCCCGCCCGTCAATCCGCTTCCTCGTCGTCCTTCAACCCGCTCCCTGCGCCCAGACACCATCCCGATGAAGCCCCCCACCCGCTCCAAGTACGCACATGCGAACAACTTCAAACGCGATGCCTGTAGCGTCTGCCTGCGCAGCACCACCTCGTCCATGCTCCTCACTTGCATTCGCTGTGTTCGATGCGTCCATTCCTACTGCCTCAACCCTCCCCAGACGTTGCACCCCCGGCAAGCTGTCTGGACATGCCAGCCCTGCACACGCGCCCCACCCCCGAAGAAGAAACAGGCGGGAAGAATCGTCAAACAAGTTGTCGATAACTACCCGTTTCTAGTACATCATAGATATCTCGATACCATGACCGATGCCATTGCCGTTGCCACTGCCGCCGAAGTCGCCTCCGCAAAGCAAGAAGCACACAAGGACAAAGAGTTTGGCCATGCTCGGTCCGCAGATTCCCCCGCCTCGCTTGATCCGGCCGAGAATACCGTCATCCTGAAGGGGGACAGCGACGACAGCGAGCTTGAAGACTTGCGCCCGCTTGCAGAAATTCATGCTCAACCTCAACACCAAGACCTTGCGGATGCCCACTGCGATACCTTGCAGTCGCGACTCGTGACAAATGCCCCTTCAAACGGATACCACAGCTCTTCAATTGACACTTTAGATTCGTCTTCAGAGGACATCCAAATCGTTCGACCATCTCCAAGAACGCCCCCTACGAAGACGGCCAATGGTGCACGAAGGTCACGCGGGGACCTTGTAGCTTCCGAGTCTGCTCGTCGCAACGACCGCATATCGAAGGGACCGCGCGTGCCTCGCTCTGGGAAGGAACGTTCTTCAAGCGAGGGTGTCGTGGGGGCGCAGAAACCCAAAATATTTGTTAAGCTCCGTAGGAGACCCCCAGCCATTGCACTGAAGGACAAAGCCAGGCCAATGGACGAGAAAGCAAAGGCAGAAATGTGCAAGCGACTTGCGAAAGCGCGAGCGAAGAAGGCAGAGCTCAAAGAAATTGCCAGACGCGAGAAAGAAGAAAGGCTTTCAAAGATAGCTGAGGAACGGACAGCGATGGACAAGACAAACGCCAAAGCGATCAAGGATAAGAAGGCCTTTTCTGCCAAAGCGGATACTCAGTCACGCGAAGGCGGAGCACGAGTCGTGGCTGCAGACAAGTCTGTCATTGCGAGGAACAGCGCAGCGAAGGCGGGAACTCCAAAAACTGGAATGCCGAACAGCAGCGCGGCAGTGACTCAGATTGCGGCGTTGCAAGGTGTCGTTCCTTCGTTAAAAGCAGCTTCAGCGCGAGTTAATTTCAGGCGAGATAGCGGTGCCATGAATGCAGAGTTATCTAGGAGCGATGGGCTTGCAATGCAGAAGACACTTGCTGGGACTCAGCGTCGTACCACTGAGGTCCAACAGAGTCGAGGCAATATTGTTGTGTCAGTTGCCCAAGCTGCAGTGCGAAATCCGGATACAATTGACAAGCTTTCGAAGAGCAACACAAGAGCATTACATGGTGATGGTGTTGCTTCTCCCAGAAGTCGTGGGATGTACCCAAACGTGACCAACGCGCCCCCCTCAGTTCACTTCGCCGCTTCAAATGCGACTGGAAGCCCCCGCGGAGGAGGAGAAGTACCTCCTTGCTCCCCAAAATACCACAAGCCGCATTCGAAGCAGGATGGCACTGCAATTGGAGAAAAGCAGACATCTGCCATCCAAAGTGAGGACACCACTGGCCGACTGACTGCGGAGCAAGGGGATTATCGAATTACCAACTACCCCAGCAGACCTCGTCCAGATAGTCCCACGCGAGACAAAATGGCCGAAGAAGGCCCGATGACGACGCAGTTTCGGACAGCAGAGCGTATGGGGCGTGCACATAACGGTGAAATTGCTAATGGCCTGAGACCAACGCCCGGGCGAGAGTTGCCAGAACAATTTGCATCCAATCGACAACCACCAATAGCGATATCTGACTTGTTCCAACATTCGTCGAGATCCGGCGTTTCCAGTCCAATGATAGTATCTGCAAATTGGAACGAGTCCATGAAGCATGATGCCAAGAACGAGGCATTGTTCACTCTAGCAGAAGAACAGAAGGGAGGTATTCGTAAGCGCAAGTCTTCAGGACGAGCGCCGTCAGGTAATTTCGAAACCAACGTCGCAAATCGCTCTTCAAAAGGTCAACACAGAACAAACAATGTACCTGAAAGTGAGAAGAAGAGAATACATCTAACGGCGATGATAGCCTCTGGGCGCGCAAGAGGAGCGGGTAGTTCGATGGCCGTCGAACCTTCTACCGGCACGGGTCGCGCTATCGAATCTTTTGACGACTCTGCTCGCAAGGGCTCTATCAATCGGTTGCTCAGTAGTCCTTCCCCAATCGAACACCCAGATGCACGGGACCCTTCTCACGGTTCAGAGTCATACAATATTGGCAGCCCGATTCATATGCAAACACGTCCTGCACAGCGTATGAATCGGTCTCCCGCTGTGAATGCACAAGCAGACACGGTGATGGTGGAAAATGGTGCCCTGCGACTAGAGCAAGGTTCATTGCGGTCTCCATGGGAAGAACCTGCGGAATACGAGGGGCTGAGGGGCCCACCAAGAACGTCGGGTATAGCTTCGTCTAATTCGGGGAGTCAGAGTGAACACGGCTCTACAGCAGCGAGAATGCCAACCTCAGTGCATACCTTGCGAAAGCCCAGGAAACGAAAGACTTTGGCATTGGCCGCTGTTGCGCCGACGGGAAGTATGTCTATCCCGGCTCCTGCGAGAGCGGACGATCCACATGACGTAGTTGGCATGGAACAAAACTCTGCTGCGGGTGGACCGGCGTGGGGTAACGTAAGTACCGCAAGTGGAGGTTACAGGCAGCCGGGTCATTCGCACTCCTCCCATGAATTCGACGTACAGGGTGGTTCGATGAAGCCTACATATCTGGAACGAACCCCGGATGTGAATTCTCGAAGAGGCACGGAATTCGAGCGACGGTCAGTCGGATCGCCACCGACAGCCTTCAACCTCAATCAGTATTCCCGCGCCGATCTGTATGCAAACGAAAGATCTCGCCATGTATCATCAAATCGAGAGGTAGGCCGGTATCCGGCACCCGAGACGGACCTCAGCCGAGGAGGCATGGATGAACCTTACCAGAGCCCGAGTTTGTCTACTGGGAGAAAGGGAGGGGAGGGGATTGCCAGGAGCGATGCGCAAATGACGCACAATCAGATATCGCCGATGCGACGATTGGCCCAAAACGCTCCGAGCCAGGGATATCCAAGTCCTGTGTTCCCAGGCGAGTACCACACTGGACGGTTAGATGATGGCTCTCGGTTTGCCGACGGCAGAAGGTTGCGAAGGTCTGCGGCCCCAACGGTGCCAACAGCGACTCGGCGATACCAGTACGAGCAAGGCCGGCAGCTTGCGAGGTTCACATATCCTGGCTCACCGCCCGAAGCCCAGCAACCCTATTCAACAGCACGGCGACCAAGAACAGGCCCCAACACCGCCGAACCCGCCTTTGCGCACTCGGGCACCGACTACGGCCAAGAGAGCAAAGGCGACCCTCGCTCCTTTGGGCAACCCGCATACCCCCCCTTTTCGCACGAAGACTCAGTCAGCAACACACACACGCTCAACCACCATGCCATCGCTCACGGCGGCATGCGTCTCCAGCTAGCACCAATAATTCGCCCCGAAAGCCCACTGCACTCCCACACTCGCGACTTGACGTGGAGGCCGCCTGGCTTGTCCCGTTATGGGGACACAAAGGCAGGACCGATTGTGCATCGTAGCGGAGAGCCACAGAGGTACCACGGTGACTACGCTCCCGAACGAGACGAACGCAGCACGCAGATGGGGCACTATCGGGCGATGCAACCGCAAGTCGGATCCGCGCCAGACGCGCAAGACGTGTACGATCGGTCGCGCGAGTACGCTGTGGCACCGATGCCTAGCGCGCATGACGAACGGGCGTTTGGGCAGCCGGAGGCAGGGCAGGTAGCGTATGGGATGGATGAATACGGGCGCCGGTTTGGATTTTCAGATCGGGGGACAGGTGCTATCGACGTTAGAAATGCAGGGCTCGAGCGGGGCCAGTACGCGCGGGAGCAGGCCGCGAAGCAGTCGCAGCGAGCGCTTCCAGCACGCACCGACCCTTCCCTGAAAAATCTGCTCGGATAGCGACGTGGTATGACGAATGCCGGCCCCTTTAGAGCCTCTGTAGAGGGAAAGACACTGAGATTTGTAAAACTACCAGCGATGGATATCTTTTCCGAACCAGCTGCACCGGAGCTTCCATCTTCAGATCATCGGAGAAAGACAAATCCAATAGCTCCGCAGCAAACGAAATATCTTTGAAAAGGTAGGGTAGCATTGTGTAGAACTCGGTGCTAAACGAGTGAAAGACTGCTCCCCGCGATTAACTCGCGAGCATCCACTTTCCTGACTACAGCGTCGAGGGAGGGCGCGATTACGCTTCGCCGGGGATGTGGCAGTCGCGCGAGTTGTTTATCAAAACTGGTGTATGACGGGCTCCATCTATTTAGGTAGCTCCTGCGCGCTGGTGTCCCCCAAAATGCGCTTTCTAAAATCCTCCACCATAGGCTTGAGTCCCTCCCTCAAAGCCACCTTGGGTTCCCACTTCAAGTGCGTCTTCGCCTTTGTAATATCCGGCTTCCTCTTCATGGGATCGTCTGGCGTCGGCGGCAAGTACTTGATATCCAATTGCGGACTAACGAGTTTCTTGACAATCTCGGCGAGCTCCTTCATCGTAAACTCGCCCGGGTTGCCCATATTGAACGGCCCCACATGCGTGTCCTGGTTCATCATACGCACAAGCCCGTCGACCAGGTCGGCGACATAGCAGAAGCTCCTCGTCTGCATCCCATCTCCATAAATGGTGAGCGGCTCGCCGCGAATAGCCTGTCCCACGAAGTTGGACACCACGCGGCCGTCGTTGAGAACCATGCGCGGGCCGTACGTATTAAATATGCGGACGACGCGAATCTCGACGCCGTGCTGGCGATTATAGTCAAACGAGAGGGTCTCCGACACTCGTTTGCCCTCGTCATAGCAGCTGCGAACGCCGATGGGATTGACGTTGCCCCAGTACTCCTCGACCTGCGGATGGACCTCGGGGTCGCCGTAGACCTCCGACGTAGACGCGAGCAGAAAGCGGGCGCCGGTGCGCTTCGCCAAGCCGAGCATATTGATAGTGCCCAAGACGTTGGTCTTGATGGTCTTGATGGCGTTGTACTTGTAGTGCACGGGCGAGGCCGGGCAGGCGAGATGGTAAATCTGGTCGATCTCGGCGTTGAACGGCTCCGTGACGTCGTGGCGGAAGAATTCGAAGCGCGGGTGCATGCGCCAGCGCGCTAGGTTCTCCTTCTTGCCGGTGAAGAGCGAGTCGACGACGATAACGTCGTGGCCGTCCTCCATGAGACGGTCGACCAAATGCGAGCCGATGAAGCCGGCGCCGCCGGTGACCAGGACGCGCTTCTGGTGGACCTGGCGGTTGGGCGCGTTCAAGCCGCGCCTGGGTGGGAGGAGGGAGGGTGTTAGCGGGGTGGCGAGAGACGACGCGGGAGAAAATGGGGGGGAGGCGGGGCGTACCACATGGCGAGGTTGTCGATGGCTTCGCCGCCGTTGGCGGGGCGCTGGACGTCGACGACCGGGGTGTCGTTGGCCATGGTGAAGAGCGTGGATGGGGAAGAGGGGAAGAGGGGATGAGGGGGGTTTGCGAGAGAGAGGTACCGGGGGGAGGAGAGTTGGTATGGGGAGGCGGACGGATGTGTGGATGTGTGGATGTGTGGATGTGCTGACAGCGTGGATGGTGGTGGGGCGGAATTGATTTGGATTGCTCGCCAGAGCTGCCGGCATGTCGTCACGAGGTACCACAGGCTGACGTGGACCACTGTGCGGTACGGACGTCTCGCGTCCTAATTCATCATATCATCCTGTTTACAGAGACTTCGGCTTACAGCCGTTTCTACGCCGCACGACACGTGTATCCACTTCTGTCCCCGTGTACACGTGTGTTGAATCAATTCATCAAATCCGATTCCTTCATTCCTTCATTCCTTCGCCTTCACCCTGACCCTCATAGGACTCTACCACCAACACACACCTATTGCACTACCCCCTCACCCCCTCACCCCCTCACCCCCTCTTCCCCTGCGCAATGTCCACGCCAACCTTCAGCATCGTACGCCCGCCGCCGCCTTCCACGGCCTCGGCCCCGCTCTCGCACATCCCGATAACGATCCCGGGCTCGACGATCCCAACGGAAGATCTCTCTGTGCGCGCGCGCGGCACGCTGCTGAGCACCACGGGCTCGACGCGCGTGCTGACAGCCACGGTAGCGGGCGTGATCACGCGCGTCAACAAGCTGGTCATGGTGCGCCCGCTGCGCGCAAAGTACATCCCGGAGACGGGCGACGTCGTGATCGGCCGCGTCACCGACTTGGCCGGCCGGCGCTGGCGCCTGGACGTCAACGCGGCCAGGCACGCCATCCTGCTGCTGTCCGCCGTCAACTTGCCCGGCGGCATACAGAGAAGACGCACGTACCAGGACGAGCTGAATATGCGCGCATTCTTTACGGAGGGTGACTTGGTGTCGGCGGAAGTGCAGGAGCAGTGGGACGACGGGTGTGTCGCGCTGCACACCCGCTCGCTGCGGTACGGAAAACTCTCGGGAGGCACGTTTGTGCCCGTGCAGCCGGAGTTGGTCAAGAGAGCGAAGAAGCACTTCCATCGCCTCGACTGCGGCGTGCATGCCATTTTGGGGAATAATGGCTACATTTTCTTGGCAGAGAGGGCCGAGAAGGAAGGGGGGGCTACGACTCCGGAGATGAGGAAGATGGTCGCGAGGGTCCGCAACGCCGTCTTAGCACTGGATACCGAGTTTATCGCCATTGGCCCGGATACTATTATGAGCGTTTATGATGCATCGATTGAGGAGGGCGTCGAGTTGAGGGATATGACCAGGCCGGATATCACCGCCAAGATTTGTGAGGGAGCGCGCTCGATGCGCGCCGCAGCGTAGTCGGGGGGAGGTGTGTGCACAGCTAACACCATACAGTGGTGTCAACAAACATGGGAGGGAGGTCGGGTGCGGAAGGACGCTTTCCGTGAGAGCTAGAGTTACTGGGCCGATCACCGCTAATACTTTGATCGCAAAGTTGGTTGCACTGTAGGCGCGGTCAACGAGATGTGATGTGTGGTATCACCGCTGGATACCCGATAGTTTTTTTCGTGCAGTGCACGAAAGAACTTACCGCACTGGCGCAAGCTTCTTCTCTGGGGACAGAGAAGAGGCTTGCACTAGTGAGGAAGTTCTCCAAGAGACTTGGCCTCATCGATGAAGAGAAGAAAAGAAGATCCGCGGCACCGTCATCAAAGTCGAAGGCAGACTTCGATGCGGACCTAAAGAGTCTTAACGAGGTGCCTGTTCAGGACGGGGACATTCAGGGCTTGGATGATTTTGAAGACTCTGTTGTGTCTTCTCCTTCTTCCTTGTTTGGCAAAAGGCATAAATCCTTGATGAGAAATTTGAAAAAGAAGGTGACTCCCTCGTCGCCTATGACTCCGTTGCCGAAGTAAGGCCCGATTCATTATCGACTAAAGCACAACACGAGAGGAATGGAACGCACAGTCCAGGACATAGTCTGCAAAGAGATATTTCGTTGGTTGTCTATTTTCCCATCGACTGAGAAACTGGTGGGCAGGGCACACGCCAGATTTGCCTACTTCGGGAGTAAAGAGTAATTACTGTAGTAGCAGAAAACGGAAGGCGGGAAGGTTGTTTTCTTTTCTTTTTTTTTTTTTGCAAGTATGGGGCCTTAATACGATCACTGATAGACCTTCAGTCTTCCTCACCAAGCCAACGTCTTGGGCAGTAGCAGAAGAAGTGTGTAGGACCCTTCACAAAAAAGACTACAATATCGATGTTGCGTATGCTACAAATATCGTTTTCCTGCAAAGCATGTCTCGAATCCACAAACCATACAGTAGCTGCAAGATGCGTACGTAAAATAGCTCTTCTCATTGATGTAATTTTAGCATCGAAACAGTTTTTGTTGGCATACCGTATCATGCGGATACACGGTCATACCGCATCATGCGGAAGAACTGCTTGCGCTCTTGAACTGTGAGCTGCGGTTCGCTTTATTCAAATAGGAAGAAGCGTTCAGCCTCTGGAAGCAGAGGGCAGCGGAAAGAATCATAATGCAAGATAAATTCTCATGGCACGCTTGTCGGATAGCCGATTTAATCGTTTCTACTGCCTCTCTCGCATCTCCTACCCAAGGGCACTGTATGAAAAGGAGGGCCTACTGTATGAAAAGGAGTAGGTCATCTAGATGGTCTACCTGAGAAGCATGGAAGTTTTGTCACAACGTGATGACGCGAAGGATGATACAAACCTCAGGTACTTGAGCCCGATCACGCTGCTGCGATCGCATAAGAACTTGCATAGAAATTTTGCATACAAAACGCCTCTGAACAGTGCTCTTCCAATAACAAAGCCACAACGCCAGGCTCAGAAATTTCACCTCTCCCAAAAACTCGCCTGCACCTCATCCCATTCTACTCACCAAGCACAACGGGTGGGATACGCTGAGCGAACACTGGCTTCTCGTTCCTCTTACTATACCCAATTGGCAGCACTGCGTCGTCCTCGCAGAAACATGTCCTCGTCTCTCCTCTTCCACGCCCCCATTCTCTTACCCCGCACATGCCGAAAACACAGGCTTCTCTACCGACCCCGACCCCGCGCCTGCGCGGCAACCACCACCACCTCCAGCTCACCAGCGCTGCACCTGTCCTCTCAAGATGCGCGGCCCATCGCCGCGCCCGTGATCGCCGCCATCCGCGACGTGTACACGCGCGCGAACGGGGCGTTGCACCGCGGCAGCTGCGCGCACACGCTGGGCCGGCACGCGTCGGAGCTGATGGAGGATTCGCGCACGCAAGTAGCGAGGTCGGTGAGCGCGAGGGACCGTAGGGAGGTTATGTTTGCGTCGTCGGCGTATGCGGCGACCAGCGTGCTCGCCCACTCGTTTGGAAGCACGCTAAAAAAGGGCGACCAGGTGTTGCTGTCGGCGATGGAGAGCGATCATATGGTAATCCCGTGGCGTGTTGCGGCGAGGAAGTGGGGGTTCAAGCTCAAGGTGTTTCGCCCAGATATGACGGAGGGCGGGGAATTCGCGTTTGGAGAGTTTGCAGGGATGGTTTCGGGTAAGACGCGGCTGATTGTCTTTCAGCACGCGTGTCCAGTCTTCGGTTCATTTAACCCGTTGAATGAGTTTATGGAGTTTGCGACGGGGTGCGGGATTCCTGTTGCCGTTGATGCGACGCATTCTCTACCCTGGGGAAAGGTGAATGTCCAGCAACTGCGATGTGATTTCTTGCTTGTCGACTGCGGAGCGATAGGCGCCCCGCGGGGTTCAACGTTTCTGTACGGGCGAATGGAGAGGCTTCAGCGATTGCCGCCAGTTTTTGGCGGGGAGGATACGTTTGAGCAGTTTTACATGGGCAAGCTCAAGGTCAAGTTAGCGAGAGATGTTTCTAACTGGGCTTCAGTCCCTGAGCGATTTGAGGTTGGCTTACCACCATTGGCGGTCGGAACGGCTGTGGCAACGGCCTTGCGAGAACATGAGCGGAACATGGACAGCGACTTGATAGCACGTGGAGAACAGCTCGGAGCGAAGCTATATTTGGAATTGAGCTCGAACCCTCGGCTCAAGGTGTACGGAAATGCCATGACGCTAAGGATCCCTTGCGCCACCTTTACTGTCGACGATGCTGACGAAGCCGCCCTAGCTGAACAATTGCGCAAGCATAATACCTTCATTGATGTCGGGTCGCATGGCTCCCGAGTCGCCCACAAAGAGGAGCTGCAGGTAGAATCTTCTTTGCGCGTTTGTTTGGACCCCCGGATTCACACCCTCGAAGACGTCTCAAAATTTTGTCATGCAGTTGAAATCGCATTGAAGGAGCTCGATGGCTAGACACTCATGCTCTGCCATAATAGTACATGTTTGAGCCGCGCGGGCGGTGTGCAGATACTAGCTGTTTTTTTAGGCTAGGTGCATCCTCAGTGCGATCCTTTGTCGTGTCAAGATGACCCGGATCACGGTATCCGCCGCATAGGAAAATCAGCAGCTGGGGATAGCCAGGGTGTTGGTACTAGCACGGCACAGACGGAACAGCAACTGTTTTCTCACCTCGCGTCTTTGTGCTTGTCCCCTGAAGAGGTGATATCAGCCTATTCCATAGCTCGTGACCACCCGGCGCGAGCGGATTCTCAATCCTCTGGCCAGGGGCGGAACTGACAGCAGCCGAGTTCGATCATATTCCCCTCATTGATCACTACGCACGACTCGGGACTTCTGTCTAACCAGCCCTGGACGCTGGGTAAGTCACCCGACCTGGCTCCCAATCCACAGATTCCCTCCACATGGTCAAAATCCACGGTAGTCTCTTGGCACCATACAAGCGCCGATGTTAATTGAATTCCATCTCTCCGTATCCCTCTAAGCTGGTGTTCCAAAGCCAAAACCCCACAATTCAGATGACGCTCTGCAATCAGCTCGCAAGTCTTGTAATCTCGCGACGCCAGTAAACCTAAAGACTACAGATGGCGCTGCCTGTCCTATGGTAACTCGTTTTTATTTCATGGTGACGGCTTATAGGCGGTTGTTTGCGAGGCTCAGTGTTAATCGGGTGCTAAGGCTGAATGTGTAGAGTCTACGCTCCTGACTTGGCTGAACGTGTAGAGAGTCTACCGCCCCTGACTTGCTGTCTGATCCCGCGGACATTTGTCTCATGCTTTCGTGTAAGTATGAGCAGTCTTGAAGTACTAGCTACAGATATCTGAGTGATAAGCTTCTTTGTTGGAGACGCAGAGCGTTTCATGTACACCGTAGCACGCTTGAGGCGGTCCGGAAAGGTTGGTGGTTTGCTGGGAACAGGAAGGATTGCTTGTGTGCCGATGGTCGCACCGTCTTTGCATGTGTCTGAATAAATATGGCATGCTCCTGTGATGATTGCACACAGCACTCTGATTGCTAGTTTATCGACACAGTTGTCCTCGGCACTACTTGCTGTGCGGGAGGATGCCTCGTTCATTTTCTCTTCGAATTCTGAGGTCGTCGGATATGAGCTCTGCTCACTCTTTCACTATTGCCGCGTCATCGTGGATGGATATATTAGCCTTATTTTCAAAGTGGGTGATGTGTTTTGCAAACCTCTACCAGCCTTCATCCGTCACCATCTCCTCTCAAGTGACTCTCGATGTCACTGTACAGTTTGACGTCTGACTCGCCGATGGACATTGTTTGACGCTTAGCAGGAATTGCTGGGCTGCAGCCTCAGGCCTTCTTTTTCATAATACTGTATATAGGAATTTCCCTTACTTCCATTGTACCTCAACCTGCACACAGTGCAGGTTGAGGTACAATGGTCTATCTGATGTTGTAGTATGAGGTCCATTGACTTCATATGAAGTCACTTCAACTTAACAAAGCATTTGTTTCTTCTGCGTGTGCCGTGTGCAGTTATGATAAGAATTCTGGTAGACAAGAAAAGTGTGCTGATTTGACTTGAGTCACATTTAGTCAAACAGCTGCTTTTAATAACGTTTGAATTGGAAGATGCGGTTGAGTTCTCTTAAATCCATATAGGTTTTTGGCAGACGTCTTACCATATTGTTATCTTTGCGGAGTTGAGAGGCTTCGTTGATGTTCAAAATAGTGAAAGGATTGCTTTGAGTTGAAGTAAAAGTGCACATGCATGAAGAGCCTTAAAACATCTGCGTTTAGAAATGTAATGCCCTTAAAATAATTGACTTAATTTATTTGTTTGGCTTCATACTGTATGATAAGAGGAAAAGACTGACCTCATATGAGGTGAATGAAGGTCGTGTAGGCACTAGAGCTATGCACTGGAGAGCTATGCACTGGAGAGCTATGCACTGGAGAGCTATGCACTGGAGAGCTATGCACTGGAGAGCTATGCACTGGAGAGCTATGCACTTATAGCACTTGAGTCAAAACATAAGCGAGGGAAACAGGAGGTTGTTATTGTTAATGCTCATTGTTGTGGGCTTTTCTGTACTGTGTATGTGGTCTGCCTTCGCACTGTTGTCCGTCACTGCCTCCCCTCTCCTGATCCCGTGTTTCCTCTCTACGCCGGCTCGTCACCCATCCAAGACGAGCGGTCCTCACGACACAAGCAAAGCCACGCGCGAAGACCCCCGTACAGTACAAGCCAAAAGCACAAGGCGGGACTGGATTCCTCTCTCCACCGCACTCTCCGCCGCACCGGTACAGTGACGAAACCGTGCAGCAACGCGGCCAAAAGGCGCGCGGCGACGCGTCCGCCCAAGACATAAAACACCCATTCCTAAATGAGCACCACGTGTAAAGTTTACACACAGCACATGCCCCCGTCGACGGTGGTGACTACTTTTCAGTATGAGCAACGCGGGAAGGCATATGTGAAGAATCTAGAGAGATTTTTTTTAGGGCAACGGAGGCGGGGATATGGATATCCTGTGCAAATGTGTGGCCTTTTTTTTCTCGCGCGACGTCGGGCCCTCCTCTAGCGCGCGCGTCGGCGTGCAAGCACGTCTGCGGCACGGCGGGGGCGGGGCGGTGGAAGCTGCGTGGGCGCGGCGGCGCTTCGAACGGAGCAGGCCAAGCGCGCGCCAGCCGGGCGGCGCGGGCGAAGGTGAGGGGGGTGCGCGTGGCGTGGCCTCACCCAACGGCCTGCGTAGTCGTGTAAGCATGCGCGACGGGGCGCGGCGGCGCTGTTCCGGCGCTGCGGCGGGGGCACGTTGCGAAGGCAGGGGGCGAAGGGCATGCCCGGGGGCGGCGGCGTGCGCACATGCGCGCGGGCGATCGGGATCGGGGGCGCGTGGAGATGGGGGCTCGGGACGCGCAGCGCGAGGGAGGGGGGGCCGGGGGCAATATGGGAAATTCGAGACCATCAATTGTGGGGGGAAGCGAGGTATGATAGGGGAACGTACTCGCCGGGGGTGCAGGGGGATCTCGCGGCGGGGAGTGTACAGTACGGCGCGGTGTCTCGGTCGCGGGTGGAATATCCGCGGCGCGGTGCAACGAGGGCCGCCCGTGTGCGGGCCCCGCCTCGTGCAAGTGTGCGGTGCGGTGGGCCTGCGGCGGGCCGCGCGTGCATAGTGCGTACACAGCGCGTACAGCGGGACTTGGCGCGCAGCTGTTGGCCTGCATGGCACGCCACGTCGCGCCCGCACACGTGGAATGAGCGAGATATGACAGCCGCAGGAGAAGCTTGCCGAGATTGGAGGCCGAGGTTGTTCTCGATTTTTTTGCACCGAAGATCTGCCCGATCGAGATCTTTCCATCGGGTGGCCTGCCTCCCCCGCCCTTCCGTTGTCCACCCAATGCTCGGTATATATACCCCCCCCTCCCACCCCCGTCATTCCTCCCCCTTCCCCCCCCTCCCCCCCTCCCCCCCTCTCCCCCCCGCCCTCGCCATCACCGCTCCTGCTCCTCGCAACACCCACACCTTCAAGGAACACGGACCACCTTTTACCCTCTTCAACACACACACAGACTCTACTCCGCCACCATGTCTTTCTGCCCCGACGTCGACCAGTCGCCCGTCCACGACCCGTCCTCGCCGCGCTGGGAGGTGCGTTGCAGCCGCTCGCCGACGGGCAACTCGCACTACTATGTCGACCGCTGGACCGGCAAGCACATCTCGTCCCTCACCGAAATTCAAGCGGAAGCCCGCACCCCGCCCCCGGCCAGACCCGCTCCGCCTCCGGTCTCCCCACCCCCGCTGATCGGCATCACACAGCCGGTATCGGCTTCGAGTCCCTTCAGCCTCAGGAGGACTAGGACGAGCTCGTTTTAACTGTATACTAGGTCATATGTATGTGTAAATTCTGCCCTTGTACTGCTTGTAGTACATCTGTGTATCTCTGTCCCTCTGCCCGCAGTATATTGTCCGAGATGTTTCTCCGTCTCCGCAGCTTGCTCCTTGTTCTCGCATGCGGTCCTCTGCAAAATCGTCGCGTAGTATGCTCGTCACGTGGAGCACCTTCTGCGTCGCTGTCCTTTGAAAATTTTACCCCCGCCAGTCCGTCACGGATCGTGGAGCGCCTACCGCCGACAGGCAGCCATCGCACAGTGCAGTCATCGCATTGACATGCCCCATGACTTGCACGCAAGCTTCAGATTCGACATAAAACCGATCGTCCCATCGCCTTACTACTTCCTTACATGCGCCCCATCGCTGTACCGCTCTGCCAATCTCGTCGTCGCCCGCAGCACGCCCTGAGAAAGCACCCATCCCCTACTGAGCCGCACGCGTCCTGATACGCACCCTCCACACTGTGGGGGCGGCCCACGCATGACAGTCCCCTGGCTAGAGGGTAATCCAATGCTCTCCCGGCTTGTCACATCACCTCCCTCTTCGCCGTAGGCCCCCCCCCCTCCCCCTCCCCCAGTCGCAGTTGACAGTACTCGGTGCGCGCTGCGGAAGGGCATGTCTCTGCCTGGCGGTTGCGGAAACACGCCTGGCCACGGTGCCATCATGAAGCGCTGTGGCAGTGCATCGTGAAGTGAGGGTAGCTGCCAGCAGGGACGGGCGGGTGGGCGTCTTTTCTCCGCATGCAGCTCCTGGGAGCTGGTTCCTGCCACAGGAATCTCCAGCTAGAGGAACGATTTCG